AGATTATAATAAGTTTATTGCTTTCCTAGGCCACCAGTCCATGTACAAACACTACAAAACAATACTTAAAAAGTAACGGTCACAAGTAGAATATGATATTAATAATTTGTTAACATTTGTTTCCTGGCTTCAAATGCTTTGAACACAAACATACAAATATTTCGTAGAATATCGTAGAATATTATTGTATCGTACAAGCATTTCAAATTTATCAACAGTTGGTTGGAAAGAATAATGTACGGGGATTAACTCTCGTCTTAACGTGTTGTAGGCTGGATAAATCAACAGAAAATGATATTCATCGTCAACAAAATTAGCACGACAGACTTTACAGACTCTTTCCGTTGAAGGCTAACAATAGTAATATTCTATAATTCTATAAGTTTGGAATTCATTTTCCTGAGATACCATGGTACGTTGTCTGAAATGAATGATATTGTGTGAACTCAAAATCACATACGAGAACAAAACATGACCTTCATTTTATCAACAACCAGACTACAAATGTGACAGCACATATAACAGTGAAATAAAGTCACCTACCAGCCCATCGCAGAGAACCCCATGCATCCCTGCATGCAAGACCTTTAGGCGTGTAAGTCACAGTTCCACCCGGCAGCCAACCATTCATGTATGTTTTGAAATGGCCCCAGTATTTCTTTTTAAGGTCTTTATCAATATCTTTGTGAATGTGGCCCATTAGAAGCTGAGATAAGAACACGAACACTTAGACATGTGTGAAGAAGCATCAACCGTGGAACGGATACTGGTATATTTATGGATACCGATAACAATGGGTCGAACTATTTGAAATATTTCCACTAATATCATTTAGTATTTACCTTATTGAATATAAATGTCAATTTTTGTCACATTTTACGAAGCAAACCTTCATAATCTTTAAATATATTCTGTAGCAAGTGGCAAATGATGTTTTGTTCACAATTGACAAAGGAAATACAGAAAAAAATACATCAAAATGGCGGACAAACTATGGTGTCAAAACACAACTCCATCTAATCAAGACAGACCATTAATTATTTCGGTAGGCTGGCTAGGTTGGGCTTTTGCGCATGCGCATATCATGGGTGATCGAAATGGTAAGGTGTTCTAATCTAACTTGACATTTTCTAAAACCTTTTAGTTGGACAGATTGTTTTTAAATAATCATTATTTTACGATAATGTTTGCATTTATGTTTGAGAACAATATGGGTTGAAAAGATGAAGTACATTTATATATACATAGGCAAACAGTTTCTGAACATATCCTGTGAAAATTGCAAAAAAGTAACAATGGCCATAACGGATTGTCATGCTCAACCATACCTTGAGTCCCTCTCGCTTGTCGTTCCATCCGTATGCGTAAGACTTCCCGTGCAGTTTTTTCGAGTCGTATAAGCTAACTGCCTCTTGTCGGTAACACTCGTCGCCGGTCAACCAGTATAACCAGATGGCGGCCCATGCAACCTCGTCCCAGGCCCCGTTTGATCTACAGTTAAATATTTATATCAAAAGAAATAATTCGTTTTTATAATTAACTTCAACGATTCACGCACAGATTATTCAAGCATTTCAGTACAGTTTGGGAGTTCGTTACACAAGATTCAAAATCAGTTTCGATCGTTTTACGAATAGTTTCGGAGCACCGTTTTCACAACTCTACTTATTTTTCTAGAATTATTCGATTGGAAAAAGTTTCATGGTTTGGCCGAACTGATAAAATTGTTTGTCTGTGTAAGTTTTAGTTCGCCTTGTATGACGATAAGTAAGGTATCTTATAAATCATTAGCATTATACATACTACATTAGTGTTATACATACCCCATTAGTATTATACATACTACATTAGTATTATACATAAAATAACTAGTATTATACATACTACATTAGTATTATACATACCTCATTAGTATTATACATAAAATAACTAGTATTATACATACTACATTAGTGTTTTACATACCTCATTAGTATTATACATAAAATAACTAGTATTATACATACCCCATTAGTATTATACATAAAATAACTAGTATTATACATACTACATTAGTGTTATACATACCTCATTAGTATTATACATAAAATAACTAGTATTATACATACTACATAAGTATTATACATACCCCATTAGTATTATACATAAAATAACTAGTATTATACATACTACATTAGTATTATACATACCTCATTAGTATTATACATAAAATAACTAGTATTATACATACTACATTAGTGTTATACATACCTCATTAGTATTATACATACCCCATTAGTATTATACATACTACATTAGTATTATACATATTACATTAGTGTTATACATACCTCATTAGTATCATACATAAATAACTAGTATCATACATCTACATTAGTATTATACATACTACATTAGTATTATACATACCTCATTAGTATTATACATATTACATTAGAATTATACATACTACATTAGTATTATACATATTACATTAGTATTATACATACTACATTAGTATTATACATACTACATTAGTATTATATATACTACATTAGTATTATACATGTTACATTAGTATTATACATACTACATTAGTATTATACATAAAATAACTAGTATTATACATACTACATTAGTATTATACATAAAATAACTAGTATTATACATACTACATTAGTGTTATACATACCTCATTAGTATTATACATAAAATAACTAGTATTATACATACTACATTAGTATTATACATAAAATAACTAGTATTATACATATTACATTAGTGTTATACATACCTCATTAGTAATATACATAAAATAACGAGTATTATACACACTACATTAGTATTATACATAAAATAACTAGTATTATACATACTACATTAGTATTATACATACCTCATTAGTAATATACATAAAATAACGAGTATTATACACACTACATTAGTATTATACATAAAATAACTAGTATTATACATACTACATTAGTATTATACATAAAATAACGAGTATTATACACACTACATTAGTATTATACATAAAATAACTGGTATTACACATACTACATTAGTATTATACATACTACATTAGTATTATACATAAAATAACTGGTATTATACATACTACATTAGTATTATACATACCTCATTAGTATTATACATAAAATAACTGGTATTATACATACT